AAAAAAAAAAAAAATCTATTAGGCAGCTAATAGTTTTTAGTCACATTCTTTAAAAAATTGTAAAATTCCATGCTATCAGTACCACTACCGTGTGCCCTGGCACACCTAGCTAGGTTGCACGCGCCCTTCACTCCCCAAAACTAGAGAAATTAAGAGAGTGTAGTGCACATCCCTAATTTTCTTTTTTTAATTGAAAAAAAGACATATTACATAAATTAAAATATCATTAATTATTTATATTTAAAAAATAAAATAAAAATACCAAAATTCATAATTTTTCATTATCTATAAATAGAGATCACATTTGATAGGTTTTTGAACACAACTAATTTTTCGTTTTATAATATGTTCACCTTATTGTGTATGTAACATGTTCATCTTATTCTATAACATGTTCATTTTATTATGTAACATGTTCATCTTATTCTTTAACATGCTCATTTTCTTACGTAACATGTTCATCTTATTCTATAACATGTTCATTTTATTATGTAATATTATCATCTTATTTTATAACATGTTCGTCTAAATTTCATCTGTGAAAATGTAATATTTTCATCTTATTAGAGAGGATTTTGGTTTGTGAAGGTGGACGATATTCGATCAAAAGACTAATTTATGGAATTTTTTTTACATTCTACTAGCTTTTCACTTCCATTCCATATAGTATGACTATTGCATAAATTTGAGTTCTTAACAGTAGATTATGGTTTATTATTTCAGGGCGGGGATGCTTGCATTAAACGAGTGAATGTCGAGCAAGAAATTGACCAGAATTTTTTGTATGAAGTGGAAATGGGAGAAAATAATGTGAGAGCCCGTGATGTAGATATGGAACCTCAACATGTTCATCTTATTCTATAACATGTTCATTTTATTACGTAACATGTTCATCTTATTCTATAACATGTTCATTTTATTATGTAACATGTTCATCTTATTTTATACATGTTCATCTAAATTGTATATGTGAAAATGTAACATTTTCACCTTATTAGAGAGGATTTTGGTTTGTGAAGGTGGAGGATATTCGATCGAAAGACTAATTTATGGAATTTCTTTTACATTCTACTAGTTTTTCACTTTCATTCCATATAGTAAGACTATTGCATAAATTTGAGTTCTTAACAGTAGATTATGGTTTATTATTTCAGGGCGGGGATGCTTGCATTAAACGAGTGAAAGTCGAGCAAGAAATGGACCAGAATTTTGTGTATGAAGTGGAAATGAGAGAAAATAATGTGAGAGCCCGTGATGTAGATATGTAATCTAAACATATTCATCTTATTCTATAACATGTTCATTTTATTATGTAACATGTTCAACTTATTTTATAACATGTTCATTTTATTACGTAACATGTTCATCTTATTCTATAACATGTTCATTTTATTATGTAACATGTTCATCTTATTTTATAATCTTCCAATAAGATAAAATAATTGTAAAAAATAATAAATTAATTGTGTTCCAAAAAATATCAAATGTGGTCTCTTTTGTAGAGAATGAAAAATTATGAATTTTGGTATTTTTATTTTTATTTTTTGATACAAAACATGAATGATAATTTAATATATATAATACTCCCTCCTTTTCAAAATAAGTGTCGTTTTGAATCAAAAAATATGTCGAGATACATAGCAAAATGGATGAATCAAAAAAGTCAAAACGACACTTATTTTAAAAAGGAGGTAGTATGATATATGGGACACATGTCCCATTTAAAAAAAAAAATTACTTACCTCCTTACCTCTTACCTCACGCGCCTTTAGGAGGATTGTATTTCACAAAATGCCCTGACACACCTAGCAAGGTGTGCCAGGGCACACCTAAGTATTTGCGAATTACATACTCCTATTCAAGATTTCATACTTTGAAATATTATATAAATAAAAATATGATATTATGAAATATATATTATATTTTTTATAAAAAATAATTATTTAACTTTTAGTGAATAACAATAGTCTTTGTAAATAGCAAAACATGGTAAAAGATATAAAAAGTGACATACATATGCTAACATAATGAAGAAGTAGAAAGCTATAAATATGTCACAAATAATCATTCACCCTAAAATAGATTGACAAAAATTCATTCTTTCATCTAAAGTACTTTTGACTTATTGAGTAAAAAATATTGTGCAGGTGATAATTATATGGGCAACCTATTCAACTACAAATATAGACAAGGGGAGAAAAAAGTTCAAAATAGAAAAGGGGGCAAAAATTTTAGGCTACAACTGAACTAATAGTGTGGTTTGAATTTTGAACAACCAAATTATTCTGACAAAATAATGAACTGTAACAAAATCTGCAGCAATTTTTGCAGCAGCAAAAGAATTGTGTGTATAAATAAAGCTAAATTCAGATAGAAGAGCCCATAGTGTCGCGAACAATCTCACACACGGAAATCACGTTTTCGATGGACAACAAGACTATAATGCACCATTCGAGCAAATCCGACTTCCGGTTTTGTAGCACTTCTTGAAGAAAATGAATGTTATGCTGCAAAAAAAATCAACATAACACTTTCAGGTCTAAAAAAAAATTAACCGCAGGACCTAAGAAAAGTGTGTTCTTGCAGAAGTTATTTGGGTTGTTTTTCTGATAAGCATATAAGTTAGTTTATAGTATACTCGATTAGCTTATAAGATTTTTGTATTCAAATACGCTTAGGCCTGTAAATGAGCCAAGCCCTCGTTAAAATAAACGAACTAGAAATCGAGCTCGAGATCGAGATGGGCTCGTTTATCACTATTAACGAGCCGAGTTCTAGCCTTAATGAGTCAATCTTAGCTTTTTTTTAAAAAAAAAAAAAAAAAAAAAAAACTCGAGCTTTTCTCATAAGATTTCTTGGGTAGCTTTTCAAATAAGCCCATTGAAATTTTTATTTCAGCTAGCTTATCAACTAATTTTACCACTCTTTTTATCATATAAACTAGCTGCTCAGCCATAAATAATAAGCTATCACTATAAGCTCGAAATTCAATTAAAAGCTATAAGCTAGCTTATCAATTAGTTACCTAACATAGCCTTGGAAGCAGAATTTCAAAAGCAGCCATACCTCGACAAATTTCAACTTGAAATCAAGGTTTCCAAATCGCTGAGTGACTTCGTATTCCTCACGAAGGTAGTCGAGTATTTGCGCATATTTTGCATCTTTCCAAGCAATTTCCGATCTGAAAGCAATCAAACCAAAATTTTATACTTTCTCATCTTTATTTCCGGACAAGACAATTTTTTTTTTTTTTTTTTTCAAAAACTCTATCCAATGGCAACTAACTTAAAGAGCTGGAAACCAGGCGAGCTTTGGGTAAGTCGTTAAGTTTTTACGAAAATAGATTATAGTGAATCTCCATGTTTTAAAAACAAGATATACACGCGTAAGGCATCACAGAGTATAAAGATAAATAATAACAAAGGTATTGGATATCAAAGGTTTCCAAATAAAGAAAGTGAAGATCAAAATAAATTGAAAAAAAAAATGAAAAATTACCTTTCAAACAGACCAACTTTAAGAATGACATCAGCTAAATTCGAATTGGCCTTCCCAACAAGCTGAAACAGCTTTTTCCGGGTCATCGTGAAAGTGCCCGTTTTCTCCATTCCCCGATTTATCTCTGCAAACTCTTCAACCATACCATCAACCTATGCATGAGACAAAGGTAATTACATTTGTTTTCTTTTTATTTATTCCTCTTTATGTTTTAGCTAAAGTATGAATGATACTGCAAATCAGCAAATGGCATCATTTCAAGATAAAAGGAAATTAGAAGAAATTGGTGTATTCTTCTTCTTTTTCTTTACCTGCGACACAAAATAATCAAGAGCTATGCTTTGGCCGAGCACACTACTAATAATGCGAATGCTATCTATGTCGAGTTTTTTCAGTACAATGTAATCTGGACCTCCCTGCATGTCCTCGACTGCCAAAGGCTTCTCTTTCACAGCATAATCTGATTTGAAATTAATCACGGATAAATGCTTCAGTCGGTGAAATATAAAATTAATATTTATTTCTACTGTCATCCGATAAAAATTCTAAAAGCTGTTGCATTAGTAATAATAAGGGCAAACAAGGACGAGCTAATTAGCAATTCAGCATACAGAAGCATTGTGCACTCGATTAAAACTCGGAAAATTCAATTCGTTCCAAACTTCATTTGAAAGATAATTTTGGATAACTATGAAAACCACCCCTTAGTTATCATGGATTATTTACCTAAGAGAAACACAGAGAATTTCTAAGATTACTTAAACAAGTTCGTTAGTTCTCATTCTATCTTATTTCCTCCACGAATAATAGGCATTTCAGAGAAAACCCTTACACGCATACTTCATAGAGATGTTTCAGCCAAAGATTTAAAGACTTGTCAAGATTTTTACACAAACACATCAAAAAAAAAGAAAAAAAAAAGGTAAAGAAGAAGAAGAAGAAGAAGAATGGAGCTTCACCATCTTTTCTAATATCTGTAAGTAGCCCAGAACCATGTCTACTAACAGCTTGCAGGTAAAAGTCAACTTCATGTTCCGGCACGTTAAAGAGCACTGCCGAACCATATTGATAAACGACCATATAACGGTAGCCACTCGTACTTTCTCCTACCACACCTCCCTGAAGTCGACGAATTCCCATGATGTCCAATAAGACAGAGAATACAAGTCAAAATAAATCACAAGAGCTAACAAATCATGCCATTTGATTAAATGGACAATCCCCGATTTTATAAGAACCAAATTGTAAAAAAAAAAACAGATGGTAAAAAGTTAGGATCAGATATGAATGGGCAAAGATGTTGTACAAGGCTGGAATTAACAAAATATTGCACGAGTAGACTTTCTCTCAATCGGGAGAATCTCTTTATCGAAAATATCATGCGGCGATATTTATTACAATGAGTTAAAACTGGTAAACAAGTTTATTGTGTAGCTAAATAACAAATTTAAGGCCACGCAACGTCAAAACTACATTTGAGATTGTGAATTAATACAATTACCGCTCTGCCTCATTTCACCATTAATGTAAGAACTAACGTCTTATTGCAATGCCTACTATTAGATTATCAAAATAAACAAATTAAAACTACAGAACGCACACTATCTGTTGGTGTCCAAAGATGCCATATGACACAGAAATTCAAGAAAACGGGAAATAGAGATATCAAAAGAGAAACATACACAACATTTGCTATAAATAAGAAGTGATTGGCATGAGAAAATTTCTCACATTTTTCCAGGGGGGATCGGAAAACCTGAGAGCAATAGAATTCAATGAGCGTGAGGTTGGAGGAATGAAATATCTTGAATTCTCAGCTTGCAAACCTTTCAAATCAATACTGCCAGAAGAAAAAGAGAATCTTAGAGACTAAAAACGTACGATTCTCAGCCAGACCAACAAGCAGCACAAAATCAACACCATTGTTATTCAAGAATATCCTAAAATCATAGAGAAAAAGAGACCGCGAATTACTAAAGTGAAACAGAATTTCGGCATTCCACATGACACAGGGACTTTCATCACTTGAAACCCATTTTTTTTTTCTTTCCTAAAATATATTAATCCTCATCCCTGTGAGCAACACTCACACAAACAAAATCAACTGGTTCCGACATGAAAACGCATGGATAAAAGGAACAGTGATAAGGAAAAACCAAGAACACAACAATAATATGTATCATTAGACAAAAAAGTTAACTTCATAAAAGCTTAACAAAATGTCCCACCACAAGAAACTTATTACACTACCAAATATCCCAACACAAATTTGAGAAAAAAAAAAAAAA